TCTCTCTCTCTCATTCGCACTCTCTTTCGTGCTTTCTTTCGGAATTTCGCACAAAAAACAACATACACGCACACACGCGATGCACGCACAGGCAATCTTTCGAATCACTTTCATCTATACACTAGACGCTCATAATCGCGTGCTTCTTTTCGCCACGTATTCAGCAACATTTAAATATCGGTATTTTTCGTAATAATTAATCGTAATAATGATGATAATCATAATCATAATTAATAATAATAATAATAATAATAATAATAATAATAATAATAATAATTAATAATGGTATAATAAACTATCTATCTACGCGTGTAAGGTGTATTTTTTTGTCCATATCCATGGAGTGTGTATCTCTTAAGTCCTAACTTTCTTCGTATTTATATATGTATATGTATACATATAAGTATGTATAAATGTATTTACATACACGTAGCGGGAGAACGAATAATAGCTTTGTCTGCAGCAATAATACACAGAGTATGCTTTTTTTTTTTTTCTCTATAACTTTATACATCGTCGTATTATCATCAATTATCATTATCGTCGCTTGTGAATAATAAGGGTACTTTTTTTTTTTTTTGTTATAATTTCCGTAATATTAACATTGCTTATCAACACTAAGATATTTTAAAAATTTACTCGTTAAATATTATTTAATCAAGTCGTTGTATGCTAGACGAATGTTGAGATCAAAGAAATTGCGGATTCCAGGATTCCCGTGATTTGTTTTTTTCTTTTCTTTTCATTTTTTTCTTTTTCCTTTTTCTTGTTCTTCGCTTGTTGCTTACACGTCGGTCTCGAGATTACCAGCCGTAGAGAACATCTGACGATCGATAAGCGCACCAACGGCGCGAGACGTTAAATTACACACATGTAACGTCTGTCCTCGAAAGCTGCTGCCTTCCTCTCTCTATTTTTCTCTTCTCTTTTTCTCCCCTTTTTCTTATCCTTTTCCTTCTCTTTGCCTTTTCGTTTAACGTTGAAACTGTGACCGGATTGCGAACGGTACGACTATTATTATATTGCCCCGGTTGCGAGAGCGTGTAAGAAACGACGTCGTGGAACAGAATGAACGAGGACGGCAATGGCTTTCAAGAATTCAGACATTGCGCAACATACCGTGAACAGGCAGCGGTTTGTTCTATATGAGAAAAGTTGTATGATAGGAACTCGGCCTCTCATCTGTGAATTCTGCATGACTAATCTGTGTTCTTTCTTCCTTCTCTTTTCTTTGTTCCTTCCCTCCTTCCTTCCTTCCTTCCTTCCTTCCTTCCTTTTTCTTGTCTACCTATACGCGTACGATACACAACGTGTAAACACGCGAGAATGTCCACGTCGTTCAACATTGGCACTTCGAAAGTCGTTACAGCTTTACTTTGCATTAAATAATGTTACCATAGTTATCGATATTAATTACAATACAATTAGAATATCGCTGCTCTATCGGATAGACGGTTTGCGTGATTCGACAAAAATAACAGTTTCTTAATGTTTTTTTTTTTTCTTTTTCATTTTTCTCTCCTTTGCTTTGCGCTCTTTCCTCTTACCCCCTTATACTTTTACTGGGTCATCACTGGGCCACAACGTCAATCCAATCTATAAAAACATTAAATTCAATAGCGTCTATTCTTGGGTATCTCGTATCCCGTAAAGATAATATCGAAAGATTTGTTTAGCCGTTTTCTTGTTATTTTTGTTCTGATGCCTTGCTTTAAACGACGATGGTCATACAAACCCCTTCGAACAAACTTTGCTCGGTATAGCCGATATATTTTTCGAAGAAGAAAGACAAACCGAAAAAATGCGTGTGCGTGTATATACATATATACACACAGACACGACGCACATGTATAATACCCGAGGAAGCCGCCGAACTGCGATTATCACGTATATTGCATTAATGTACTTAACGCGCCAAGATCGATTCATCCGTAAACTGGACCGATGCTAACAGCTTTAGGCAGTGTTTTCCTCTTATGCTCATTACCGCGCGGAACACAAGAACGTAGCGAGAAACATATATCGGCCATTTGGCAAAGCGGTTGTTTGCTTTTGTTGAATCGATACCAAAAAGCACCAGATCACGAGAGCACGTAACGCGGATCGACAAGTATCACTGATCCAGCTAACAATTTAATCGACATCTAATTGCACAAAGGTACCTCTAGACGATCCTTTCGTAGTTGCTAGTAAGAATTCATTACACAGTAATCCATTATCTACATTTATATAATATAGACAGTATGTATTGAATACAGGCACGATATAAGTAATTACAAATAATGCATGATCCAAAGTCCTCCTCCTGGTATCACAATGATAATGGACGCTGTGCGCGGGGATTCGCGTCGCCAACTCCATGCTTCAATGAAAAAAACTCGCGGACTTCATGTCCGCAAGTACACGTTGCTCGAGAGAAAGGAAAGTATACGTAAAAGGAAATTCAAATGAAACAACGAATAATCTCATTGGCTCAGCCAATACCGAAAATCAAACTTTTGAGTTACTCGTCAAATATCACAACAAATTCTTGCACCTCGATACAGGTTTCGGAGCATCTTAGATTAATCCTCCTGTCGTCTCGAACTGATCCCGGCGTATGCCATTCGGGAGAGCGATACAGGACCGGTAACAGGTTGCGCGCTCGCTTGGTATAGCAAGCGCTTTAGTCAAACAACGATCAACGGCCCTTGCGACCGCGACAAGGGGCCTAGGGCTACGTCTCCTCCTTCTTTATCTCGTTATTCGACTTCAGTTTGGCAAGAGTTTCTTCCTTCACGTTGCTCAAAACGGCCAAGGAATCCTTCACGGCGTGGTAGATTATATTCTTAATCTGTAACTTGTCTTCGTGATTCGTGTGCGTGTCCGATAGTGCACGGAACTCTTGCGTTAGATGGAAGCAGTGCGACACATTTTCTGGAGATACGAAATCTTCGGCTACCTTTATACAATTATGCAGATTGCGGACTTGATGCGGTGCGCCAGCTGGCACGAATACCGCATCGCCTAGGCACTGTACAATAGCGTATCTGTAAAGACGACAGAAGATTTTCTTTATTTATTCCCACGAAAAGTTGCTGCGGCAACACGAGAGAAGAACGAGGAAAATATTTGAACGAAAGGGGATTGATTGCTTACCCTTCGACGCCATATTCGCGGTACAACCGTTCTCGTAAAGGTCCATCGAGGTAACAGCTTTGATCGTGGATCGGATCGTGATGCGGCTCCAAACGAGCCCCACGTTCCAAAGCCACGGCGTTCAACAGATCCCTAATTTTATCGGCATCTCGAGCTGCATAAATATGCCACAATGCGCCCGGTGCTTCTCCTCGTTCGCGAACACGTCGGCGTGTCAGGATATCACAGCCGGCCTCGTCTATCGCTCGCAGTGCTTCTGTAATACGCGAATACGCGCGACCATGTCTCGTTAATAACACCTCAAATAACGAAAATCTCCTTCGAATCGAATCGACGAAGAATAATCTGTAAAGGAGAACAACGGTAAATAAATACCTTTGATGTGTTCGTCGTTGTCTGCATCCTTGGGGATTCCCACGTATACCATGACGTTAACCGCATCGGAAATATCTAGGTGGAGATTAGTCGTGCCCTTGTTAGGATGAAGAGCCGAACCGTAAGCGTTGTACATTTTAGGTCCCAAGTCTGGCCTTACGAAGCAGTCTGGTAGCCGGCTGGCCAAGTTCAGTCTTCCGTTTCGATGGGTGTATTCCGACAACGGCAAAACTTTCATCAAATCCGCAAATCTCGACGGCAATAACTCCGCGAAGTCCTCGCCGGGTGGCCAGTCTTTCAATTTCAGCAACATCGGATTCCCTCTCTCGTCTTTCAATCTCTTGGAGAAGTGTTCGAACCCTTCCCAGAATTTACGCATCGGCTGATTCGGTACCAGATTTCCGGTCATACAGTTGATCAAATCGTTCTTCTCGTCGCCAAAGTCTCTGGCGAACGAATCCGGATGCCACAAGTTCATATCCAACGACTTGGACACGTCTGACACAATCACCGGTTGCCCGCGTTTCCATTGATCTTGAAAAATTCTATAATTATTCGGATTGTTCGGATCGTTTAACCTGAGCAATTTCCCGTCACAGAGCCAAGAGTGAGGCACATCCGGGTAAAGACTCTTGCTTTCGGTAAGTGTCATAATCCGTATAGGCAACGGTTCTCTGCCCTTTTGCGTCCATTTGTATCTTCTCACGAAATGCTTCAGCTCTCTCGGTTTCTCGTCGTCCAGCTCACCCTCTCGTTCCTTTTTCACGCTGTGCTCTATCACGCTGGATATTACCTCGTCCAGCGTGTCCATTTTCGACTTTTTGCCAGACTTTGCGACGTTGTTTTGCGCATTGTTCCCGGCGGTAACGTTAACGTTACCGGAATTATTCGTCGGTGAATTTGATCTAGAACCACTGCCGTTTGATTTATGAGACGGTCGGATAAGCAATTCTCTCAAGGTCGAGTAATTGCCATCCCGATCCTCGTCGGAATCCGAACTGGAAGCGCTTTCGTTTTTATCTTGATTCTGTAGAGCCACATCCGCCAGCCAGTTTAACGGCGAATTCTTGTCCTCGCCGTTCGTTTTGTTCTCCGATGAACCGTTCGATTCGTTCACTTTCTTCTCTTCTTTAACTTCCTGTTTGACATTACCGTTCAGAACCGGTACCGAATCACCTTTTATCATATTTCGTAAATATTCATTGGGAGGTGTTTGAACGACAAGCGTGCAACCACAGTGCTGAGGTATTCCCCATTCCGCGCGGCATTCGTGCAGTCGTTGTCCGAGACGTATCAAGCTATCGCCGGCAATAATTTGCGTGAGCATAAGTCGTTCGGGCTCGTGTACCTGCCTATTTGTACACAGAAGCCAAGAAAAGTCGTCTCTATCCTTCCCGCTTTCTCCCCAAATCTTGATCGTGCCATTCTTGCGTCCCTGTTAATGTCGATATTTTTTTCTCATGAAATCGCTGTGCGTAAAATTACGTTTGCATATTTAACGGTATTATTACACGTTGTATGTATCAGTGTTAAAAAGCTCGATGTATTTTATAAATACTTATCACGTGGTTCTCAACGGATTATTTGTCATCATGTATCATTATTAGTTAAAAGTGTACGGAGGAATGAATTCATGAAAATAGAGGCAAACGTTCTTACCTTATAACAATCGATGCACACGACGAAACCACATTTCCCGCAAGCCCAGTGATAATTGAACAAGGTAGTCTCGCAAACATCGCACATTTCTCGAACACCTTGCACCACTCTCTTCCAAGCGACTGTTCCGTCTACAAGTCCCGAACTTGCTGTCAAGGTGAAGAAACAATCGATACACAAAGCGTTAAATCATGCGAACAAAGTAAATAGTCAAAGCAACGTTTCGTTTACATATAATAACATGCTCGAGAAAATCTTGAATCAAACGTATCGAACGTAAATTTACGCTAATACAGAAATGAAAACAAAAGAAATGGCAAATGATTAAATTACATGCTATAATTGTGATGTTCTTTTACTTCTTTTTTCTCTACTACTCCCTCCCTCTCTCTCTCTCTCTCTCTCTCTCTCTCTCTCTCTCTCTCTCTCTCTCTCCTCTCTCCCTCTTACGTATGCTCGCAATCACTCTCACTTTTTAAATTTTATTCTCGACAACGTTTTACACAAGTACATATATATACATATATATATATATGTATATGTATATGTATATATATATGTATAATAGCATGTTAACGATTTGACATGGACATTATGAAGCATGCGAGAGAATATATGAACATCGAGTTGGAGATTTTATAACCGTATTCGGGGGAAGAATATTCGAATCATCTAAACGGTTGGGAATTCGATAGAGCAAAGGAAATTTACCTTCTGTCATATGCTGTTGGAGCGCATCCTTCTCTTGATGCAAAAGATCGCAAAATTGATCTCCAACTTGACGAAGCAATCTGTGCGCCATTTCCAGATCTAGATCCTCTTTGTCTCCTTTTTCTTTATCGTTCTTGTCGGACTTTTCGTCCTTCTTCGTATCCGAACTTTCTTTTCCTGGTAACCATAATCGAAGATCTACCTGTAACACAAAAACCAAACGACAGTCCGTTTCACTGTTCCTCCAACGACGAGAAATCTCGTCGAGCATGAGAGCAACGCAGAAGCTTGGAATATTTACCTCGGACGCATCTTTGTGAGGATCGCTAAATCCCGCTATAGCCAACTGTCCATTTTTCGTGTACCGTAATCTACGGAATGCATAAAATCTGCAGAAAATATTTTGAGGAAGATTTTTGGAACGTTGGTGCGGTGTCCATCTGCACTCACGACATTTTGCCAATTTCGGGGCTACTTCGAAACAAGCGCCGTCTTGCAACCAACTGTCACCGGTTTTTTTCAATTGCGATATCGGAGGTCTACGAAAGGGATCACCCCTACCGCCGCTTCCACCTGGCCCATTGTTACCACCGCTCGCACTGTCGTCTCTACGTTCTTTCTTTTGACGAGGTTGCTGATCTTCTCCGCCCAATTCGTTACCTTTCGTAGTCTTTGGTCTTCTACCTCGTTTCCTGGGTTCCTTGTTATTACCTGCAGAACAAACAATACGATCCACATGAACCATCGCGAACGCCAGTTATCTCGCAGTTTGTATACGATAAATAACGCGTGTCAGTGTTAAAAAGCTCGTTATATTATTCAAGATATCATAGACGTGTACGTATATATATATATATATATATATATATACACACACGTATCAAACGGATATCCGTATCATCATCTCTCTTATTCATTTCGTAACAATTACATACGAAGGTATATGAAAGAAGGAAACGTTTCTCGTTATACCGAGACAGGGTAAGTGCGCGAAACAGGATTGCAAAAATGGTTCGAAGAGCTCGGCGAACGTGAAGAGTATCAGGAAATGGAAAGAACGCGAATACTGGCTAGGCGAAATATGCTGCCACGTGGTCTCGAGATTAAGCCATAGGTACATGGAAGGTAAATACACATGGAGTCGAATTTGCCTTTCTCGACTGTATTCCTGAATTTCTCCGGTTCACGCACAGCTCTACGGGGAGAGGAGATTAAGCGTATGACCATGGAACGCGGATCACTTACCCTGCAAGTGAATAGTTAGTTCACCTGATGGGAAGAAGTCCATTTACAAGAAGCTACGTCAACTAACCGTTTCCCGAGGAATTGTTGGAATTGGCGGTGGTATGCCGCACCCTCGATGTAGGTTGAATGGAACCCAACTGTTCGCTGGTATCGCTGGCAGAACCAGCCTCGCTCTCGTTACTAGACTCGCTGCCTACACCAGCTCCTCCGCCTTGCTTATCTTCCTTTCGCCTCCGCTGATCTTCCGCGGTCGTTTGCTGCCTCCGTGCTGCGCCCTTCTTTCGTTTTACCTACCACAGGGCACAGATTATTAAGTAGTCAGGAAGTTCATGCTCTTGCCGTAACTACTGCCAAAAACTACCAACTTAGAGACGCGCGCGCGCGCGCGCGCACCCTGTTCTATATATCGCACACGATACGGCTTCCCATTTACAAGCAAATCGATTCCGCGTCGGGTGCTACGTAACATGCAATAACTCGAATAATTTCGAATGAATTAACGAACACGGGGGAAATACCGGAATTAATCATCGATAAGACGTTTTCTCCGATGAATCTGAAATCACTCGGTCGATTATCAGACATCGAACAAGCTCGAAAGAATCGAAACAGTGGTTTCTGCGTAAGAAGAAAGAGGTTAGGTTGCCTCGTTGTGGAAGTACGCGCATATCGAATGCCAACACTCGAACACACTTTACCAGTTTTATCCACCGAGAATTATACATCTCGCACGATCGATAATAATACGTGGGACACATATATTCGTGTGCAAGTGCGAAAAAATCCGATGCGAAAAAGTCCCGGCAATATCGCACAGCGGCGACACGACCACGACGACGGCGGCGGCGACGACCACCTTTCTACTTGCGGCGGAACGTATCTCTGCCGTGGCGTAGTGTTATCAAAATGGCGGCCCGGCAGGCGGGAAATTCAAATATAGAACGTTCGAATAACTAGAGACTGCGTCGTGGGTATCGGGCTTCGGAATGAGACACGCATATACACAGTCGTTCGATCGCGTAACATGCTCCACACGTTTAATTACTAATTGCGCATAACACGAGCAAATACCTTTGGTCTAAAACGATATTGGCAATCTACGGTAGAATGGGGGAAAGATAGAACATACGAAAATAGATATGGCGGGGTATTATATTATGCTAGGAAAGGGAATAATAGGGATTATACATGGAGAGAATACGACCTATATCGAGAATCATGCAAGAATAACAAGTAAAATATATATAGGCAACGACGAGTAACAGATACCGAAACGATCGAAAGGTTGGATGGATGGTGAAGAAATCAAAATAATACGATAGATACGATCCATATAGATACCTTGGGTGGCTTCCTTTTCGGCGGCGACTTTCTCTCCGGGTCGCTGCTAGAAGAGTCTTCCTGTAACGTTTTCGTGTCCGTGGCGTGTCCGTTTAACGATTCCTTGTTGGCCGATTTACGACTGCTTTTGGCAGTGACTTTGCTCTTGTTGATACTGTTCACCGCCATACTACCGATATTGTGAATCGAATTGACGGCGCTGGGCAAACAGGTGGTGGTCGCGTTGCCGGAGACGTTGGAGGAGGTGTCGCGTTCTTTGTTGTTCAAGGACTGCGAGGGTGCCTGGGAGATGTTCATAGGCAGGGTAACGCAAGAACCGCTACCCACGACGCCGGTCGTGTCCTCCGTGCCATCCTCGCCGGAATGCCTTTGTAACCATGCTTTCTTCAGCTTGTGAACGGGATAGCTGGTGCTGCTCGGTGGCCTTGGCGCGGGACTATTGGATTTTTCGCTGTCGACCGTGCTAGGGTTGGCTTTGGCGGGCGTACCGGGTGCGCTGGGCGCTGGACTTGGCGCCGTGGAGGGCGCTGGACTGGGTATAGGCGCCGGACTGGGCGCCGCGCTCACCGTCGGGTTCAACGAGCTCACGCTACCCGTACTCGCGGGCCGTACGGAACCGTCACCGCTGGCTGTTCGAGGCGTTGGACTGACCGCCGTCACGGTGCGTTCCTGCGTCGCCTGAGCGTTCGACTGCGCCAACAGTGCAACCGTCGTGTTGACCACGGTGGTGATGGAGGTGGCGGCCGAGGCGATCAACGGACTCGGTTCGCTCACTCTCGAGAGCACCGGTGGACCGACGCACTGCAACGATAACGGTTGCGGTTCCTCGGTCCTGCGTTTCTTGCAAACCTCCAGCGAGACCGGTTGGCCGGAAACCTCGGTCATCGACGGGGTCGGCGCTTTCCTCTTGGGCGAGCCGGATCTCTCCACCCCGAGATCGAGCGGCTGCGTTTGGAAGGAGGCGTTGATCTGTGGTTGCGCGTGTGGCACCGTCTGTCCAGGTTGTTGATGCGGACTGGTGTGATGCGCGGGGTGCGCGATCGGCCTGGACAGAGGCGCGGACGCGGCGGTCGGTGGTGAGCCGTGAATAGGCGGCGGTGGTAGTTTGGCGGCCGGCATCGAACCAGTGTATCCCCTAGGATCGTAGACGGACCTACTGTGCGCGGGTGGTGGGAGAGGTGGTGGCGCCCCGTGATGGTGAGGCACTTGCTGGTAAGGCGAACTACCGGCCTTCGAGGTGAGAGGTATCGGGGCTGCGACTGCCGGCTCGGAGGCTCTGCAGACCGGCGTGCCAGTCATGATACCGGAATTCGGTTTGCCGTAAATGTGAGGCGGCGCCGGACTGCTGACTTTCGGCTTAGAGCCTGCCGGCGCGGCGTAATGCGAGGTCGGCGAGGCCGTGGGCGGATGCGGATGTGGATACGGATACGAGGACTTGGCAGTAGCGTAAGGTAGGCCGGATTCCGGCCTGGTAAGATAACGCGGTTCGGGTGGCGATGGATGCGGTGGTTGATGAGGATGCTGAGCGTGCGGTGACTGTCGATTGTGCGAATGCGGTGGATGTCCGTGCGGACTGGGTAACTGTGTCGTAGTCGTTGACCCGCTACTGCCTCTGTGATGACCCTGAGGTATGCTCTTCGCCGCCTGTAGACCGTCCAGGTGGTGAAGGTGGTGAGGACTCTGCGTCGGGCTCCTGTACTCGTACGGTTTGTGTTGCGACGGTACCGACTGTACGTTCAGATACGGCATGATCTTCGGACTGGGCGAGTGCTGTTGCGACGTCGGCGCCTTTGGAAGCTCCCGACCCTCGTTCTTCACTATCACCGAACTCTTGTGGTCCTGCAGCAACGACGGAGGATTCTGCAGCACCTCCCGCCCGTGATGATCCCTCTCGAGACCGCCGGCCAAGCCGCTCTTGCTCGGCAGCGACTTGTGCGGCTGTCCCACGTCGCTCTTTACCTTGATGTCGTGCATGTACGACGACTGTGGCTGATACTGCGTCGAGTAACTGAACAGACCGACGTTTGGCTCGACCTTTGGCAGAGAACTGTGCGATGGTCCTACCACCGGTGGTTGTTTCTCGTGAAGACTACTGACGGGAAGCGACGACTTGGAGGTTCTCGAGTGCGCCGGTGGTGGTGGATACTCGACTTTGCCAGGTACGCTCGACGGTCGAGACACCTGCGGCAAACAAATCGGATAACAGATACACGATTGAACACGCGTGAAACGTCGGAAACGACGAGGAACATATCCTCGCGACGTGGAAAATCCTGATCGGATGTGATCCGTTGGTTCGCGGTAAACGGAGCGATTAAGGCGTGGAAAGGTGAAACGCGCGGTCGTACCTTGGATCGTACCCGATTAGAAGAGAAACGACCACGTCGCGTATACGTACCTGTTGAGTCGGTGGTGCAGTGGCTGCATAATAAGCGGCTCTTTGCTGCGCCGCAACGTGGTCCCTGGCCTCGGCCTGCCTGTGCAGTCTCTCGGCCGCGGCCAGGTGGTGTTCCCTCATCCCCAGGTTCTCGGTTTCTCGCTGTCGCTGCTCTCTCGCGTCTCGTTCCCTCGCCTCTCGTTCCCGTTCCTCCCGTTCGCGTTGCTGCGCGACAGTCACTGAATGCGCCGCTGCTGCACCTGGTCCCGGATGATGATGGCCCACATGAGCCGTCATTCCGGAATGCGGCGCAGCGTGCGGCCTGCTTCCTGGCGGCGGCAGCGGAATGAACGTGTTCCACGGCATCGAGGTCGACTGCATGTTTCTCTGCGGAGCATAAGACACCTACTTCAATAAATACTGCCAATCAGTTTGTCCATTCGAAGCGAAGAATCGTCACGCGTGTTCGGTGTTCCCTGCCTGATATCCGTCACTGTCTACCGGTCAGAGCTCGAAACGCGATACGAGCCAGGGGCTTCTATTTTCGCCTTTGCCGTCATAGTCGCGCGCCAGCGCGTATACAAAACCACTCTTGGGCTACCGAACGTCGTCGCTGGAGAAAGTCTCGTCGCCTATACTCTCATCGACGCGCGTGTCCCAATGTTCGCGTTTATGCGAATTTTGCCGTGAAAATAAACTTATTTTTAACCCGCTTATATATTTATCTCCTCTCCGGCGAACAACAGGTGCGACACCTTTGTACTTCTCCTTGGAAAGGTCACGCGAACCTTTCATCTCTTCGTTTAGGTCACTGCAATGTCAGAGAGCGATTCCACCGAGGACTAGAGACAGAGAGCTGGAATAATTTTCTTTCCGTAACTGAACTTACAAACAAACGTGTTCGTGATCTAACTCCGATAGTCGCGTTACGAAGAAGTAGCGAAGCCGATTGAAAACGTCCGCGCGATCGGAACTTTCCACGCGTGTAACGCAGACGCTTTTTAATCCAATAAGAAGGAGACAAAGATTTTCGTTCGATTTTCTCCTACGCGCATCGTTCGAGGTCGTTCGTTCGTGACAACGAAGCGACCGGTACACAACCGCGATACTTTACCGGGCGAAAGAAAATTATAGATTCGCTAATCGCGATGATCGCGTAGAGTCCACGGCGAAATCTCGATTCGATTTATTTCCAGACGGAAGCATCGGACGACCCAGCAAAGATACTTCTCTCCTCGAGACGACAAGCTCATCGAGTATACCGAAAAGAAAAGGACATCGACGGTGCTCTTCCTGCGAACGGTTGGACGAGGACTGTGTCAAGGTCAGGTTATCGAGTCACCAGATAAAATCTATCAACGACGACGAGCCCGAAGAGTAGTAGAAGGAGGAGTAGGAAGAGGGAGGGAGGGAGGGAGGGAGGGAGGAGGAGGAGGAGGAGGAGGAGGCGAAGAAGAAGCGGAATTAACGATGCGTGTGGGGAGAGAGAAAGAGGCTTTAAGCAGCCTGTCAAGAACAGACCGCGAATCTAATTATAGTCTCTCATCCGAGAAGAAGGTTTACGATACTAATCGAGCTGTGAGCAAATGTCAACCCACGTGGTCTGTTTGCTCGACGCTCGCGTCATCGTTCGATACATCTGTTTGTATTCTTCGCGTGTGTTCTGCGTTCCACGCATACGATTCGAGCGCTTTTTCCAAAGCATCAACGTCGCCACGCAAACCGCGCGTATATCTCGCGGATAAAAGCGGTTTACTCGCGGAGATAAAAAGGCGCGGATTATCGGAGTTGCCGGAGATGTCCGCGCCAGCGATCATCTCCCCAAAGGCAAGACATCCCCTGTGAAAGCGATTGGCCGGCGAACGGGAGAGAAACGGGAGAGGGGAATAGAACGAAGATCAACCTTCCCCGACGGTATTCCGTTTATCGCGCGGAACGCGTTCCAAGCCTGACCCCGAGGAGCGTGTATCAGCCGAGATTGCGTCCGTGTTTTGTTCGCGTAGGAGCATTATACGCGCGCGTTTTGTTCGCGTATTGCATTCCCGACAAAAGGTGCAGAGTTAGAGGAGACCGAACAAAAGCTCGTAAAACGCTCGTTAAAAGCGCGAGACACGCGCGGGCCAGCCCGGGGAGAGAGAGAGAGAGAAAGAGAGAGAGAGAAAGGAAGGGAGGACGGGACCGAATCTGAGCGATTGCGCTTAATAAAAGCCAGAACACGGCATTCAGGCTCAATCAGGGACTGACTGCCATTGGTTCGTTGACTTTCTCTTCCTCGACTCTTAACCAGCAGTGACGCTTAATCTGCTTTTTGTTCCCGACTCTGTTCTCGGTTCGCGCGTAGCAAACGCGTTGCCACGACTGTCCTCTCTCTGGTTCGTCTCTACCCGCGTGCTGGTCGTGCTCAGAATAATTACGGATCGAATATCCATCGACGAATCGACCGTTTATCAATCGATCGCCGCTATGCCCCACGCGAGAGACGGAACTTTTCGCTCGCGGCAACGTTTCGTCTCCGTCCCACGAAGGATGAAAGTTTACAGGATGAAATTATCGCGATAAACGTCGCAACGACGTTTCCACGTTGGAGAAATTACGAGGCGGCGGTTTTATACTCGACCACCGAGCACGGTTCACGGCGGCAGCGGTGATCGTGCGATGGCGATGGCGTTTGCCGAGACTCGACACTCTCGGCTGCCGTCTAGAAGCGTCACGCTTTTTAAACGTGCACCAATTTGCCCGTGTTTCGCAACCAGCACGGATGTATCGCGCGCGTACTCCGCGTTCTAACGAGCGCAACGATTCATGCCGTGCGAGCAAATCCAGCCAGAGCTTGAGTCATCGCGCTCCTACTTCGTAAGCGAGCTACGGGTAATACATCGACGATGCGTATCGCGCCGGAAAAACCACTCTCTAACCACCGTGTTTCCGTTAAACCTCGACATTCCGAATCGATCGCCAGACCGACTACGTTTCCCGATAAAACGCTCGCGCGAGCTTCGATAGCTCGACTCCTCGGTGCGGAGCAGCCGGCGATTCGAGACGGAAAATAGTCTCGTTATCGATGCGTCGAATTCCAGCGATGCGACGTAATCGGCGACATACCGTCGTTCGAACCGTCACGAGATCCAAGCGTTAAACGACACGATCGAAAGCGGAACACCGATATTCCGCTTCGAACGCGCCACGAAGATAACCGTTTTCTCCGTTTTCTCCGTTTTACCGGGTAAAATGTCGCCGAGTTTTACCTGGGACGATGACGAGCGAGGTCCGGTATAAAAGCGTCGGATAAGAAACAAAGATCGGGACGAGATTCAAACTTTCCCGCCGGAGCGTTTAATCGTACGGAACTCGAGCGGAAGAGAGAGATTATTATCGTCTCGGTCAACCCAGCGACGTATTAATTATGTAATCGCACGTGTCTGTTAGGTGATAACTTCCACGGGCGCGATGGTACTTTTGCGACACGAACGAGAAGGAGAGTTCCGTTCCCTCTTCTCTGTACTTTCAATCGCGTTATATCGACAATCTGCGTATTATCGCGCGCTTCGATATCGTTTTATCGATTCTCGCGTCCGCCAATCTCCAGCCCGAGCTGAAAATTTAATCATCGGCCGATCCTCGAGATTCGCGAATTAAAAAACACTGCACCGTTTCAACGCGAAATTTACATCCCGATGTCGATAATTTCCCTCGCTCTCTCGCATCGTCCGTGCCCAGAGAAAGAATTTAAAGAGAAAGCGGCAAAGAACGATATCCCTTTAAAGCCGTTACTTATTATTACTTTGAAGCGTTCCCGGCGAATTCGTAATGCGAGAATCGCCAAGTGTTACCCGATTAAAGAATTAAATTCCAGCCTGTCCCTTTTCAATCTCGGTTTCTTTCATTTCCGCCCAGTCTCCCAACCCCAACGATGGTCTGGGTCGTACAATAGCATTCGAGCATTCGTTATTTACCGCGCTGCGAGCAGCCTATCAATGCGGGGGTGACTCGTACAAAAGAGGGACTCGGTCGTTGCCGATGAACCAAGTAAATCATCCACCCTCTCTCGCTTCGATTAATCTATTCGTCGATTTTCCCCTCCGACCGCAAAGAAACTCTCTATCTGGGGCCACTGAAATTTTAATGCCACGAATTATAAGGGTGGCCGCTGTCCTGCTCGACACTCGGCCGCGAGGTATATCCTAGACCGATGGTAGCTGCGGAACGGAGCGACATCGCGCCATAGAATTGATATTAATTATTCGAGAATCGCCAAGGCGATACTGCCGCAACGAGAACGCGCCGACTACGTAATTCAGCGAAACGCGTATCGCGATCGGTCATCGAACGACCTCATCGTCATCGGAAATATCGAGAGACTCGACAAATATTTGTCATTCGAGATAGCCAAACGGGGTTTATGGACAGAAGTAAGATTAAACGTTACAGAACCGATTTATTACGATTCCACGTCAACCACGATTACTTTCCTTCGTTTTCTCGTTAATTTCCTCGTTGATGCGTTATAAGCGAGAGTGCGAGGTTCACGGATGACGACTACTGGCAGAGCCTTTCCAAGCGCGATCCTAAATTGGCTACGAGTAACGCGTTAACGGACAAATTACCGCGACGCGATTTCGCCGGATGAAGAAATGCCGATAACCGGGGCGCGGGGTAAATTCCTAGATACGAATTAACGAAACGTTGGAACGCTTTCGTGACGAAAGCAACGGTTCGAGCAATAATGACTCGGCCGAAATACGTGCATCCACTTTCAAGCCGAGTTTGATCTCGTTCGAGCGTTATCGTCGATTGGCCCGACAAAACATTTCCACAAAAAGTCGCGATAAGATAGAACTGTCAAAGCATTATCAGGAATTTCTGCTGCAAACACTCGGATAAGAACGATCGAGATCGAATGCGTGACCAAAAACACGAACGGAACGTGTCTCTGCGCGACGAAATTTCGAAACGACTTTAAAAAAGGTTAACGTCGCGGTTGAAAATTGCCAGCTGTTGGCAACGAACGTTCGACGAACACGACGCGAAATACAAGGTGGAAGAGGGGAGAGATAGGATGGAAGAGAGACGGGTTTAGAAACGATACGAGCTGCCATCGAAGAGGCTTCTGGAGTCGAATTCGAAGCCGCATCGACTGTTTGCGAATTACATAGCGAAACGCTATCTTATCGCGACAGACGGGCCGAGAAATGTATTTATACTTCCAGCAAACAGATAGCTGGCGAGATGATAGGAGATAAGGAAGAAGGAACCGGAGCCGCGCAGATCCTTTTACACCTATAGTCAACACTCGACGGGCCGATAACGACGTATTTAGTAATCTTTTGGTACGGTTAACGCGATTGATTCACGTTGTTTAAGAAGCTCCATAGGCCGCGCACGAGATAACGATCACGTGAATCGAC